GCAGGGCGGGGCTTCATCATATGCCCCGCCCCCCGTATCTCACCTGGGGGAACTGCGATCCCCCGCGATCCCCCCCGAAATGACCTCTGATCCTTCTCACTCTTTCTCATCTTGCAATATTTTAAGGCTTACTCTTGGTTTTTTACCATTTCAAATAAATTTATCTGTCTCTGCCACTCTTTCAATATTATTTCTTCTATATGTATAGGTAACATTTAATATAAAAAATTAGGTTTGGCAACACATGCATTTTGATTGCAGAGATTCTCTCCAGCCATGAGATTTTAATTTTTTCCCCATCTGGATAAGTCTGCTTGTCTCATTTTCCAAATCTTCTGGTAATTGTTTTTGAAAAGATTAAAACTTCACCCAGTCATATTTATTCCCAAATATCTGATGGGGTATTGGTTACTGTACATTCTGTACTTTTGAGAATATCTTCTTGCTGCGTTAAAAATATTATTACTTTTGTCTTTTTTCTGTTGATCTTGTATCTGGAAAATGACCCAAGTTCTTCTCTTTGTTCCAATAAATACTGTAGTAATTTTTGGACTATTAGACTATTAGAACCACATTTTCTGCATAGCTTTTCATTTTAAAATCTGTATTGTCCACTTTTATTCCTTTAATTCTTGTGTCTTGTCTAATCTTTGTAGCTAAAATCTCTATCGCTAGGATAAATAGTAGAGGTGACAAAAGACATCCTTATGCTCCTTTTTTGATTGAGATTCTTTCTGTTAATTTCCCATCTATTAAAATCTTTTCTTGTTAGTTCGAATACTGGATACCTTGCATCCAGTTCCCAAATTCAGGGCCACAGTTCAAAATTTGAAGTTGTTGTTGTTCAGTCGCACAGTCGAGTCCGACTCTTCGCGACCCCATGGACAAGATCACACCAGGCCCTCCTGTCTTCCGCTGTCCTCTGAAGTTTGCTCAATTTCATCTTCGTTGCATCTATGACACTGTCTAACTATCTCATCCTTTGCCATCCCTGTCTTCTTTGACCTTCAATTTTTCCCAGCTACTGGGAATACCATTGCTTTGACCATGCGGACTTTGATTGGCAGGGTGATGTCTTTACTTTTTATCATGCTGTTTAGGTTCGCCATCGCTTTCCTTCCAAGGAGCAGGCATTTTTTAATTTCATAGCTGCTGTCACAGTCTGCGATGATCTGGGATCCCAGGAACATGAAGTCTGTCACTACTTCCACGACTTCCCCTTCTATTTGCCAAGGAGTGATGGGGCCGGATGCCATGATCTTAGTTTTTTTGATGTTGAGCTTCAAGCCCACTTTTGCACTCTCCTCTTTTACCCTGAGGAAGAGGCTCTTAAGGTCCTCTTCACTTTCTGCCATTAGAGTGGTATCGTCTGCATATCTGAGGTTGTTGATCTTTTCCCCAGCAATCTTATTTCCCACTTGTGATTCATCCAGGCCAGCATTTCGCATGATGTACTCTGCATATATATTAAATAAGCAAGGTGACAATATACATCCTTGTCGTACTCCTTTTCCTATGCTAAACCAATCAGTTGTTCCATATCCAGTTCTAACTGTTGCTTCTTGACCCTTATACAGATTTCTCAAGAGACATGTGAGGTGGTCTGGTACTCACATCTCTTTAAGGACCTGCCATAGTTTGTTGTGATCCACACAGTCAAAGGCTTTAGCATAGTCAATGAAGCAGAAGTAGATGTTTTTCTGGTACTCTCTTGCTTTCTCCATAATCCAGCGAATGTTGGCCATTTGATAAGAACATAAGAACATGAGAGACGCCAGTGTTGGATCAGGCCAAAGGCCCATCCAGTCCAACACTCTGTAGCACACAGTGGCCAGAAATACCAGTGCCATCAGGAGGTCCACCAGTGGGGCCAGGACATTAGAAGCCCTCCCACTGTTGACCCCCCCCAAGCACCAAGAAGAC